TAATTATATAATCTTGACAATGGCAATAGGATTAAGAAGTAATCCTCACTAATAAAGTGGTATGGGTTAGAAATGAAGTGGAAATTGTCAGGGGTCTTCTGCAGGACCTGGACTGCCCCAGCTTCTGCAGCTGTCTGCTTGCCCTGTAATTGAATGTCTGCGAGTGATTGAAAAAATGTTATTTCTCCTCTGGATTACATGCTAATGTACAGAGGGCAAAGGGAGACAGCAAAAGAACACATAGCTGCTTATTTCATCCATTTGTGGGGGTGAGCTCTGGGAAATCATGGCAGTTCCGCAGCTATCTCATGCCCATCTGCAAACACAATGTATTTGTACATTGGGAATAGAGGGCAAAGCTGCTCGGATCTCAGCAGAGCATCTCTTCTTTTGTCCTAGTGGCACACATTGAGATTGATGCGAGATTAAGGACCATCACCCTCCTAACAATCGATGGAAATGACAATTCATCTGAATTTTTTGTCAGTTATTCTCACGTTGATTACCTGAACGTGTGTACCTCATTTATAGATGCTTTATTAATACAAAATTGTCTGTGTCACTTCCATATCTTCTACTGTTTTACAGAAGTCAGATGATACTGCAGCCAAGTAACTTCATTTCCTTACCTCTTAATCAGCTGGATGACAAACCTAACCTGTTTTCTTTCTGTATGTGTTAGTTTATATAATAGGTTCTGCATTGTCTGTTCTATGCCGAACCTATTGTTTTCAGTAGTAGTCTGATTTGTCCCTGTGATAAGCCCTGTGGAGATGTGATTATTCCAATAAAAATTCATTCAGTTGGAAACCAACCCTCCAGCTGTTTACTCCCACAGTCCCCGAGCTCCACTCGCACTGTGTGGAATCTTTGAACAATATTTAACGTGGAATCAAAAAGCATCTTTAAAACATTTTACCTTTGGCTCTGTAACGTTGTGTAACCTTAACAAAAGATTTCTAGCATCCATGAGGGAACACTTTACAGTTAGACAACTTTGAGCCTTGACTGCTACGTTCATCTTTGGGGAAAGGTACTGAAAGTCTCCGGTAGCTAAAGAACACATCTGACAGTAAGATTTCAAGTGTACATGTGTGCACTCTCTATACCACGTCTAACAGGAGGTATGCAACCCTTGAAGTTTCTCAAAAAGAAAATGTGTCTGAGTAAAAACTACATACTGCCATGCTAAAGCCAGCTCTGGCACGTATAACGTGTGCATCAGTTTGCAATTGTAGCTGCTTCAACATTCGGCAGCACAGAGACACTGCAAATCTATTACATATGTTATTTTCCGGGATAAAAAGAGTTTTGCTTTTAAAGGAAGAGCTACGCTCTTGGCTTTATTTTAATGTTCTAGGCTTGAAAAGCAAATAATTTGCACTCGCTGCCTTTTCTGTTTTGAATAATATTGTTGGTGTTTTCACTCTTTGGCAGGTCCGGTTGCCCTAAGCACACCAGCTCAGCTCGTGGCACCCTCAGTAGTAGTGAAAGGCACTCTTTCCATCACTCTTTCTGAGCTCTACTTTGAGGTGGATGAAGAAGATCCCAGTTTTAAGAAAATCGACCCGAAGGTAAGAGATCATTGACCCTGAGCTCTGAGAGATGATGACAAATTACCCAAGACCCTTAATTCTTCATTCGACTTCCTTTACCTCTGTTGGTCTGCAATGCTCCTGCTTTAATAAGTTTGCGAGCGACTATGTATGTTACTGAACTTCACATAGGTGACACCTCCTTTCCTTCTCCTTTTTCTCCCCCTCCCACAACTCGACCCTACTTGAATGTTAATTAGCTTGCTGCGAATAAAGCTCCAGGGAGGCATCTTAAATGAAGACATCTTGAATCACAGGCCTGTGTGAATACTGGAAAGTTCAACGAGGCTTTTAGCCCAAATGCTTTGTTTTACTTTCCTATTTTTATATCATGCCAGTGTAACATAGCTTTAAACTTCCTGCACTTGTAAGTTTTCAGTGCTTCTGTATCGTATTATTCCGTAACAGATTTTACAGGGCCTGTTATTTATTGTGCCTAAGCAGAAAATGTAATTGCCCTCTTAAAATACGTTTCTGAACTGACTTGATAATTTCCACAAACTTTATTTGCTCTGAGTTACTCGATTACTAGTCTTTTGTTTAAAATGAGTAACCTTCAGTAAAATTCCTTTTTCAAAGGTAGAATATTGTGCAGTTAGCTTAATAAGGTTGCACTTGACTGTTTTCTACAGTATTACAGCAACATTTCAAGACTGTGACACGATTGGTAAATATTCTTGCAGCCCAATTTAAGCACAGTGATGGCTCTTGGTTTGTTAAATATCTGCTGAATATTAAATATGGTAATGATTTCTTTGTGAAGGGAAAAAAGTCTCTGGAAGAGGTAGTGGTTGTCTGCTTGTCTGTACAGAATACCTTGTGTGTGAAGAGCCAGTTCAGTTCTTTGTTCCTATTGAGTAAATTGTTCTTGTCTGTATTAAAAAATGGCATCAGTAGATCTGAAAGATGGGATTATCAAAACCTATCAAGGAATAAATTTATTTGGAAAACACTTTCAAATTCTTAGAACTAGAATTTAATATAAGAGATTAACTAGAATTGTGATTTTTATGTGATACCATAAATGAGATTTAGCTTTTCTTTTGGTCCTGAAGTTTTTTTGAAATATTTTTGAAATTATTTAAAGTATGAGATAGCTCTTAAAATTTTGATATGCTTACCCTTTCATCGTGTTTAAAAAAAAAAAAAAAAAAACAAAAAACCAAAAAAACCAAACCCAAACATTCAATGGTAAAAAGGATATCAAATGTAAAGACAGTTTGATATGTTGCTGTATTGCATTTCCTATCTAAAATGTTCTGTTTTGTATTGCATTAGCATGAGAAAAGTCTTACATATCTGCATTATTCTGCGGTTTTGTTTTCCATGCTTAGCATATAGGGTGTTTGAGTACAGTCACTAATTTTTACCGTTCCTGTTACATGTTTTATGGGGAAGTTGACATACAACATATATTCAGCTTGCTTGCTTTTCTCCTGTTTTCGAGTGTTTGGTAGTGGTTGTTTTCTTAACTGTGAGTAGGCATTTTGTTTTGATTTGACTGTATCTTTAATTTTGTATCTAAGAGATTTTATTTGGGTTTCTATAAAAGGAGGAGTTGGTTACACGAAATACAGGCTGTACCTCTTACATTCTACTTGTGATGCTACTTTAGCTGGAGGTCTTAAAAGAAGAAAAAAAAAAAAGACCCTTTGTCACAGCTCTTGAGGGAGCCTAAAAATCGAATCTGAAGATTTTTCTTTTGAAAAGCAAGTAAGCTTACAAGGCAGCTTGCTTTCAAGCATTAACACCTCCCTGCCCCACCCTCTGCTTAAGTTGCTGTACCTTGATAGCGGTGACTGGAGCTGCAGTAGAAAATGCCCCCTGGAAAAAAAAAAAATATAAAATCCTAATCTGCTGTAGCTCAGGAGGCCTGTTTAATTAATGAGGCTTCGTCTGTTTGATAAATTTAAGTCCCTTGTATATTTGTCTAAACTACCGAAAAGAAAAACATTGTGACAAGTTCCTGAAGAAAAACCTGCCGTGGAGATAGCATCAGCAGCGATAAGATCAGAGTTTATACTCTTAACTCGGGGCTGTTTTCGGAAGGAAAGGGGTAGCCCCGCGGGCTAACACCCACCCCCCTCCTCCCACCCCCCCCAACACACAACACACACACCCGCTCCCAATTCGGGCAGGTGAGCCGGGAGCAGCGCTGGGGCGGGGAATTTGTGAAAACGAGCGGGGACCGGAGCCCCGGGGGGGGAGTCGGGGAGCGGAGCCGCGGGGCAGCGGGGGCCGAAGCGGCCCCGGGCGAAGCCGCCCCGCTCGCCGCGGCTCCTGCTTCAAGTTCATTTCCCCGGTTGCCTCGTTCATTCCGTTTTTTAACCTAAAGCCAAAAGCAGGGCGATTCGCAATGGCTATTTCTTTCCGGATCCGTCCACAAAGAAACGGAAGTAGTACTTTGGGGCAAGAACTCAGATTTTTACCCCCCTCCCGGCCCCGAAAGGACACGAAAACTTGCTCGCAACGCTCCGAGCCGGTTTTAAAATCTTTCGGGCAGCTCGAGCAGATAACGCCTTTTAAAGCTTAGAAATGCATTCCCGGTAAACACAAAAACCCCTGCAAATATTTCTGAGTCGTCCTGAGCAAACTTAAAGCGAAATGGCCACGGCCCGAAATACAAGGAGCCGGGCAAAGCTGAGCTTTGGGAGAGGAGATCGGCGGGGTCTGCGCAGAGAGGGGCCGGGGGTTCATGAGGGACCGGGGGTTTTCCTTATCTGCTCGTCAGGCTACGCTGTGGTGCGATTTTCTGCTGTACTTAAAAATCCGGGGAAAACAAATGTTTGTTTAAAAAAATATCGACCGGTTGCTCTAAAGCGCATTAATTATTCAGAGTAGATCCATAGTTCCTTCGTGTCAAAGTCAAATGGATAGTGCGTTCGGGCTAGGAAGCGAAAACAAATAGCGACGAACGTTTCGAACAAAATACAAGCGCTTGAGATTTACCAGGAAAACAAGGAAAGAAAACGGTAAAGAAAAGATTACAGGTGATGCCCGTGGGGTAGGAAATGGCACGCTCTCGTTCTGTCTAAATTCTGCTGAGCTGCTCCACAACACTGCATATATTCCCGAGATTTAGAGGGGGAACTTAAAGTCATAGAAAGACAGCAGATGTTGTTATGTGCTGAACTACCGAATGGATAAGATTTTGTTGGGTTTTGGTTTGGTTTTTTTTTGGTTTGTTTTTTTTTTTTTTTTTTTTCTTAGCGGCACGATTTTTATAGAAACTAGAGGGAAGTTTAGAAAACGTCAATGAATATGCCAAGCTAAGGCTTCGGCTAGGTGTCACGTTTAGACTATCTGTACATCTCGTGTTTCCGTTTCTTTAAAAAATTTTCCTACCGAGGTTCAGAAAGAAAATCTACTTGCCTGAATTTAAGAACCATTCACGAGAAGTCAGCGTAAAGTTAAAGTAATATTTTTATTACTATTTGCAACAAGTCAGTTGTGGGGCACATAATCTGACCTTGGCACTGAAATACATTTAACATCAGTAAAACTTTCTTAAAGGGAGATTTGTACATATAGTTAAATAATTTTTCACTTGGTGACAACATTCAGGCAAACAAGAGAGAATAAGAAAAGGACTATACATGGATTGGAAAATGTACCTTTTGGGTTTCGTTTGGAGGTTGCAAAAGTCCGATCGCTTCTTTTTGTGACTTTTTAAAAATTCACATTGGAGGGCAGGAGGAGAGGCTCTTCCCTTCTTCCGTGCAGGGCGGGGAGAGTTTATGCCGGGAAAAACCCTCGACAAGTTTTTAAAGGCCGAGCTGCAGGTGGGTGGGGGGGGTGGCGGGGGGGGGGGGGGGGGGGCGCGTTTCTTTCGCCGCCTCTTTCCGTCGTCGTCCGCGTTAAATAAAAAAGTTTTTGTTTTGTTTGGTTTTTTTTTTGTTGTTGTTGTGGTTTTTTTGTTTGTTTGTTTTTTTGTTTCTTGGTTGGTTTTTTGGGTTTTTTTTTTTTTTTTTTTTTTTTTTTTTTTTAGGCGCTGTTTGTTGAGGGCGAGTTTTGCGCGCCGGGGGTGTGAGCCCTATAGCTTGTCGAGGCTTTTGGGATTGGTGAGGATTTCTCTGGCTAGCCTCCAGGTCTGTTTGGCGGCGCTTTCCAGGGCCGAGTGGGGTTTGCCCTGAAAGAGGTCGAGGTTGGGCAGGAAGTAGTGGGGGCAGCGCCGGCACTGCAGGCAGGAGATGAGCTGCAGGAGGATGCCGTTGAGCCGGTCGCCCAGGCACGCCTCGTCCCAGTCGGTCTCCCGCGGGTGCTTCTCGCACTCGTACAGCAGCAGCGTCTTCATGTGGTAGTTGTTGAGGGGCTGCCCGGGCAGCTCCAGGTGCCGGTCGCGCAGCGTCTTCAGCACCGAGAGGCACTTGTTCCTGCAGCCGCCCATCAGCAGCCGGTTCTCGGCTTCCCCGAACTGCAGCACCCAGGCGTCGCTCTCGGCCGAGCTCTGCTTGCCCGTCAGCGAGTAGCACTCCTTGGAGAGCAGGTTGAAGCCCTCCGCCTTCACCTCCGCCACCCGGTTGGGGCCGGGCCAGGGGATGTGCGGCATGGGCCACTGCGCCGCGCTGCGCGGCCAGATCCCGGTGCACTTGAAGGCGGGCGTGATCTGCACCACGTAGCGCTCCCGGATGCGGAGCTTCACCTCGCTGGTGTCCGCGATCATCTTCACCACGTCCCGGTAGCTGCACTTGTCCACGGCCTGGGCCACCAGCGTCTGGAAGCGGGAGCGGATTTTGCGGGCGGACAGGTAGCCCGAGGCGGTGATGAACTCCACCCAGAGGGACATGCTGCGCTTGCGGCCGTCGCTCAGCTTGAGCACGGCGCAGCCCGGCAGGGAGCCGTCGTCCACGAAGTTGAAGACGCCCATCTGGTTGAGGTAGAGCACCACCTCGAATTCGGTGGGCGAGATCACCTCCAGCCCCTCGTAGCGGGCGTCGATCTCGCTCAGGGAGCTGATGAAGCGCGGCTCCTGCACCTCCACCTCCTTCAGCACGTCCGACACGACCTTGCACACCTCCCGGATGGTCTTGGCGATGGCTGCCTTGCGGGCCTGGCACCGCTCCGTGTAGTATTTGTTGAGCTGGTACACCAGCTTGGCCTGCGCGGCGATCATGTTGGGGCACAGGTCCGGGCTGTACACCGGGCTCTCGCAGTACGTTGAGGGATCCAATGCTTTAGCGGTGGCTGCAGCTTCGCGGAGGGCACCGGCCAAATCGCAGACCCCCACCCCCGCCGGGAAGAAGGCGGCAGCGGCGCGCCAGAGAGAGCGCTTTAAAAAAAGTCGGAGAGGACGGCAAAGCACAAAGAAGCGAAGCACGGCGCTGCCCCGGCGACGACGAGGAGGAGGAGGTGGAGGAGGAGGAGTGCGAGCCGCAGGCGAGCGGGCCGGGGCCGGGGCCGGAGCGGCGGGCAGCCCCCGGGGGCTCCCGGAACGCGAAGTTTTGGGTGGCGGTGGGGGCAGGGAGGTCTGCGCTGCCTCAGCGCTCAGGCGCCCACCCCCCCGCGCAGCCACAAAAATTGCCGTTTCAGTAGATCATGGAAGAAAAAAAAAAAAAAAAAAAAAAAACACCAGGAAAAAAAAAAAAAGGCAAAAAACCCAACAAACTTCCCCAGGACTCGCAGAAGGTCCCCGCAGAAAAGCCAGTCGGCGGCGAAGTTTAAAACCGCACACGATAGGAGAGAAGGAGAAGAATGCGAGCAATGCCCAGAGCGGAAGAGTGAACTCTCTGTCTGTCTGTCTGCCTCTCTCTCTCTCTCAGTCCGTGGCACCGCCAGAGATGCGCCCGAGCGTGGCTGCCGCTCTCAGCCTGGCAGGGCTGCTGCTGGTTTCCCTTTTCCTGCTGGAGGCGTTGGCTCAGCCCGGCTCTGTGGTTTGCTCTAGCTTTACGCGCAGCCGTGTGCACTTGGTCTGTGCTCTCTCATTCCTGTCCTGCAGCTCTACATAGATTGTTTGGAGAGAGAGAGAGAGAGAGGTACATATATATATATAGGTTTGTTGTTGTTGGTTTGTTTGTTGTTTTGGGGTTTGGGTTTTTTTGTTGTTGTTGTTCTTTGCACAGACTGTTTTATCCTGAGCCGGGAGGAGGGCGTAGCTGCTGTGCCCGGGATGACTTCTCCTCCCCCTCCCCACCCCTGGAAGTGCGCGGCGGGGCTCTCACTTTCTGCGCCTCTCCTCCTCCTCCTCCTCCTCCTCCTCCGCCGGGCTCCCGTCTCTCTCCGCCGGTGCCGCCGGGCCCTCTACTTTATGAATGGGGCCGGCGCGCGGGCGGGGGGGCGGAGCCCCGCCTCCTACAATCGCCGCCGAGCTGTCAGCGGCGCGGCCAATCGCGGCGGGCGGCGGCGGGGACGCGCACACGCGCCGCGCGCCCCTCGCTCCTTACCTCCCCCCCCCCCACTCCCCCGGCCGCGGCGGGGGCGCGCCGCCCGCTCCAAAAAAAAGAGGAGGGTGTGTGTGTGTGTGTGTGTGCGCGACCGTCCCGCGACCCGGCGTGGGGTGGTGGGAAAAAGCTGCAAGTTTGCCGTGAAGGGTGAGGGGAGGGGATGACTCGCTGCGAAGAGACCCGCCGGTGTGCGGAGGGGAGTTTGGGGGGGGGATTGGGGGGCGTGCGGTGCTTCACCGCGGGCATAAATCTTCTCTCGCTCGGGCCGGGCTGCGGCGGGCGGTGAAAGTGTAGCCCGTCACCGGAGCAGGACCGCGCACCTTGTTCTACTGCCCTCAAATCAGTGCCGGAGTCACGCTAATTCAGATAAATCCCGCGCCGTAAAGTTCTGCTCGTCCTCCTAAAGCCTGGGATTGAGTTAGTCGAAAGGAAACGATATTTTATGCGAGTTTGTATTAATAAGAATGTTGAACGGTGTGGCCATAAAACCGTAGTTATGTCAGTTCGGAAAGAGCAGCTCGCCCGCGCTGCTCTAGCCCCCGGCCGGCACCGACACGCAGTGTTTCCCCTGTGGAACGTCTTCCCCGTCTCCTGTGCTCGGCCCACCGGGGGTCGTGTTTCCGCAGCCGCTTCGCCCTCCGTGGGGCCGGGCGGGCAGAGCGCTCCGGGACCCCGCCGCGGGTGCTCGGTGCTTGGGGCCGCCCCCCGTGGGAGCCCGGCCGGCGTGGCCGGAGCCCTCCACACCCGCGCTGCGCTCCTCCCCGCGGAGCCTGGGTTTAACCAGCTCGCAGCGGTTGGGCTCGGCTTCTGTGTCTTTCGTCCTTTCACTGGCAGCTGGCTAATTTTAATAAAGAAAATACCGCCGTCTGTTTTCCGTGTGCGTTTAAATTAAAACCATCTCTCGCGCCGATCCTCCTCCTCCCTGCGCTCTGGAAGAAGTAAGTACGGCCGTGCCCGGCGCCGGTGGTGAGGCTCCCTCCGTTCTCCCCGAGGAGGGGGATCGCTTCGTTGGTTCAGGAGGGAGACGAACCCAGGGAAAGCTCCGAGGAGAGCAACTTGGAAGGGGTGGGGGAGAGAAGGAGCAGGCTGCGCGGCGGGGGGGAGCCGCCGGCTCGCAAAGGCGTTAGCGCCGTTGCCTCTCACGGTCTCCCGGCGTCCTAAGGATGCGCAGTTTGGAGCGGGGCGCGGGTAAGTGCCCGCGGAGCGGCCCCCTCCGCTTCGGGGTGTGTGGGGGAGAGACCCCCCTCCACCCCCCCCTCTTTGGGTGCGACCCGTCGGGGCCGGGCATCGTTGTGCTTCACCTGCGCGGAGCGTCGCTTCGGGGCTCGGCGGGGCGGGCGGAGCTGGGAGCGTCCTGCGCTTCGTCTCCGGACACCCCTTGGCGAGCGGAAGGGTTAGTGAGGGCTGGGGGTTCCCTTTCAGAGAGTTGGGGTGCCCTTTCAACCACCCGCCGGAGCTCACCGGGGCGTACCCGCCGGCGGGAGGTTCCGCGCATCGACCCTCCGAGCAGCGGCGGGCAGGGGAGGCTCCGCGGGGGTTCGGAGCCCGCGGGTTTCCCGCGCCCGGGGCGCGGAGGTGATGCCGGAGCCGTCAGGCGGCCCGGGGGGGACACGACGCGCTTTCGTGTTTTCAGGGTAAAAAGCAGAAGGAGGGGACGATTCTTCTCCTCCCACCCCCCCCCCCCCCCCCACCTCCCCCCGTAAGGTGACTAATGATGAAGCGTTACTAGTGTTCAGATTTAAAACAATTCATTACCAATTTTCCCGTCTGAGGTTGAAGCTCTAGTAAATAATAAATCAGCTAAACAAAAGCCGACTTTAATTTATTGCCCCGGCGCTAATTAGAAACATCATTTGAGCAATAAACTTAAACACTTCCAGCAAATAATGCACGTGAAACCCTTCTCTCCTGTGTCTGGGCGTTTGTGGCCGCGCCGCATTAAGAGCGGCTTCATCTGTGGCGGAATTTGCTCTCGCCGGGATGAATAATTGAAGGGAGAGCAGGATCCGAGGAGGCTATAATTGAAGAGCCCTTGTCACCTCTGCTTTTATGTATGTTAGTGTAGAAGTCCATCAGCAGCTCCTTGGTGGTGTATAAAACGAAGTGGCAGCCCCTCCAGCAGCGGGAGATACTGTATTCCATTAAAAAGACCGTGTGCGTGTGCGTGCGGCAGAGAGGAAAACTCTCAGGGCTAAAAGCCACTTGAAGTCTTCAGACCGATTGATCTGTATTCTCTCGTTATAATCCGTCTCATCATACTTGAGTTAATGAGGCAGGGGCGGGGGTGATCTGATGGTCCTTGACAAATTCATTAGGGAGGCTGCGGGACATTTTATTTGACTGTTAAACATCGTGTTTGTTTGGTTTAAGCAGTGCCAACATCAGCATGCGGCTGCCTGGAGCAATAGTGTTTTGTTAGCGAGGGCTTCCGTAAAAAGATCCTGGGAAGGGGGCTCGGTTTGCTCCTGCCCCGGCTCCCCCACCCCCGTTCCCCCCCTCCCCCCCCCCCGCCCCGACCGCGGGGGGGGCTTGGGCTGCTGCAATCCTGGGCAGCCGTATTTTCGTCGCGCTAAGGTGGCAAAATAGCAGCGAAGGGCTGCTGTTAAACGTGCAAAGAATTACTGTTTTTCTTTCTTTCAAGAAAATGCCATGTATTTGTATTAACCCTTAAAAATAACAACAGAAGAAAACTGGAAAACAACTCTGGTTTAGCAAGAAGCACACAAGTTTCTTATTGTGTGATGATGTAGCATACTTGCGTTTACTTGCCTAAGCAGCTTATCAAAGTGCATAATTACTTATTTCAGAGCTTTTTTTTTTAAATTCTGACTGGTATATTTCAAAGTTTCTATAATGCTACTGATGGAAGGTGTGATTTTTAAGGCAGATCAAAGTTTAATCAAATTAACTTGAGGCAAATCTGCCCTTTTTCTTTCCCTTTCCTCACAGCAAGGGGAAAAGTAAATGCAGGAACAGGTGCTCCCAAAAGGGATAAGAAGCATTTTTATGACTAACATATGAAATATGTATGTGTATGTACACACTTTGTTCATGTCAGCTTTGTAGATGAGACCCGGCTAGCATACCATCATTTTCTAGTAGTTGATCTCCTCTCTGTCCTTTCATTTAAGGGAAACGGTTTAGTGGAAAATAGAATAATTAATCTGCTCGTGGAACCTAACGTTGTAATATTATTTTCCTGGAGATCAGTCTTCAAGCATTCTCAGCTTTAAGTGCTTTGTAGGACTCTGCTTCCATATATAGAAGAACAGTATGGGAAAAGAGCTGGTGCCCTTTCCCTGTCATTTTCATACATTCCTGCACCACTGATGGAGCTTGAACTGCTGCAGGGAATGTATGGACTTGAAAAGAAATGATTCAGTAATGCATGTTACGTTTCTCCACAGCAAAACTGGGTTAATACAGTAAATGCTGCCGTGGGTTTGACAGCGAAAATTCTGTTTACGTGCAATAGTGTGCAGTGTGTGCCTTTTCTTGAAAGTCACAGCTCAGCTTCGCTATCTGCCGATCTGTTTGAAGGACTGTGTTTATGGAGTGAGTTGATAATGCACATTGCGGGGAGAAAAGATAGTTTCATTTCTACATGTGCCATTAATACATCTCATCAGTTGAGGGTGTTGCATAAATCTTGCACTTTTTTCCATGAAGATTGAATGGTACGGTAATTAAATAATTTATACATGTTTGTAAGTCTCCCCTAGCTTTCATTTCTGCAGTGGGAAAGGGGAGGGTTCCAACTACTCCTTCAAGTACTTTATTTTTGCTTTCCTATTCAGTCTTAAAATGTGAATGTGTTCCTATTCTGGTTTTTAACCATGAGCAACCTGCAGCCGAAGGCTTTTTCTGCTGCTCTCAATCTTGTATCAAAGGTAGAGTCTTCTCTTTTCTCATGATGACTAAGGGTGACTTCTTTTAGCTGTGAGATTGCTTTGGATACTGACTACTGTTTTGTAAGTTTGTCTTCAGTAAGTTGGCAATCAGGGAAAATCAGACACGTGCCTAGAAATGTTCTTTTTTAGTGCTTTTGTGGCATTTTCTTCTTGTTAAAACTTCTCATGGGCCTTTTGTTTTGTTTGGATGCAGCTGGGGGTGGGTGCATGCTATTGTATCCAGTAGAAATGATGAAATTAATGTGTGTTGGCTGGTCTTTATCTGCAATAATTGATTAATTACGTTAATAACATCAATTTTTAGAAGTATGAGAGCATGTAACATGCCAGGATTTTGTCAACTCGGCCTCCAATTGAATGCAATAACACTTGTTTGAGAAAAATGTGAGGTGGGCTACAGAGACAGTGTCTTGTCTGGTTCTTAAAAATGCTGTGAGGCTAAATCAGCACTGCTTTTAAAGCTATGAAAATTACAAAGATGTTCTAAGAAAAGATCTGGAAATTTAAAAAAAAAAAATCAGTTTGCAGGCATTTGGCCATAACTTTTCTTTATATCAGTTGCTGTAGGATGATTGCTTTGTTTATTGTCTTATATGTTCACATATCTGTGCATATGTGTAAATAATCATGCCAACAAACCTGCATGGTTTTATTGGTTAGACGATCATTTTAAAGATCAAAAACTACACGCAGCTAGCCAAGATGAAGCATATTTATAAGTTAACCTAGAATTCTCTAAAGCATACCCTTTAAAAATGTCGATTTCTAGCTCCAGAACTGAAAGCTTCTCATTTACATGCTTAACATTTTAAAAAGTACTTTCTCAAATACCACATATAGCAACACGAAATCCTCTGCTCCTCACCAACCACTCTACAGGTTACAACCTTTCAGTGAGTTTCTGTAAGTGTAACTTATAAGAGAAAGGGTGTTGTTGGAGGAGGGAACGGAGGGGGGGGCTTAATCTTCTCAATAGCACTGGTGACCAGCATGGAATATGTTGAGTCACTTGCTTGCTCTCTCTCCTCCCCGTATTTTAAGGTGATTTTTTTTGACTTTGGATCTGGTAGAAAAGGCATGCAATTTTTACTGAATTAAAAAAGAAAAAGTTTCCTGTTTGAGCAGTCTTCTAATTGTTCCCCCATTCAGATATAATACAGTTTAAATGCACAGTTAAAGCACTCTACTTTTCTGCATATTGTACTTCATAGTATTAAATTTTTATCCTTTGAAAGTACTACATTGACATAAAAGTAGTGTATTACTAGTTATAAAATCATTGCAGGGGTTTTGTTGCTATTTCTAATGAGAGAATCAAATCATAGCTATTCCTATTTTATATCTTGCTGTGCATATCTTATTTCAACATAACTTCTTCATGATAATATGCTGCTCCCTTTTTAATTTTCTTATGAATTGGGTAAAACCTACATGCAAAATAGTTCAAGGTACCATCTCCCGTAGCTGGGAAGGGGAAACTGTATTGGCAGAATGTATAGAAGCCATCTGCATAGTTTAATTGAAATAATATTTGGTGATCTAAGGGATGGAAATTGTTCTTTTTCTTTAACCATCTGAAATAAAACTAGGATGTAAAACAGCTGTCTTGGCCTATGGAAATCAAGGTTCTGCCAGTCTGTTTCTTTTCTTCATTTTCTACTTCTATCTTCCTTTATTATCTTTGGATCCCAAGGAGTCTTTCTTATTTTCTAACTGGTTTTGTCTGCAACAAGGGGCTGGGTTGGTGGGTTTAAATAGACTTTGGATAGAGTGAAAAATCTTTGATCTATGGCTATGACTGCTTCCAAATGATTTGCTTGCTGGGACTGGACACTGTCCATGCCCTTTCACTTCGCTATCAGATAGGCACACAAAAAGGACTTGACATGCTACCAGATGCATAGTTAATCATTGCATTAGGTCTGTGAAGGGGTCCATCCAGACTCAATTAGGTCTACCATTTTTAACCAGTGTTTGCTCTGTAGTTTGTTTGGAGTACAATATTATTTCTTACTGCTGTTCTCTTTATTTAAAAATGTAGCTTTTATTTTCAAGAACCCTTCTCTGCATTTGTTCTGTTTTATGTATATTTAGAACAACTGAGTGTTATGATATAACAAATATTATTGCAGTATGGTGTATTATCTGAAGCTTTAATGAAAAAAGTTTTTGTCTTTTCGTAATTCAACTGTTTTCCTTTCTCAGTAGTGATTTCTAAAAGTATATTTGAAATAAGATAAATGCAGTGACTGGCATGTATTGAGGTGGTGTTCAGAAGAAAAGCTTACAAAGGTATCTAGAGGTTTGGAGCTGAATCTTAAACTTTGAAAACCAAACAGCAGCAGTTTTCCTATCACTTATTTACATACGAGCTCATTCTTATATCTGGCACTGCGTGCTTTTGTGTAAGAAGGATATTAAGGGTGCATGAGTTACAAAGGTTGAGCTGTAGGGTAAAAAACGTTAGGTAAATTATTGCTCTGAATCTTGCCTGGTATTTCCAGGAGCAGTTTGTATATTTACATTAAAAGTTGTTAAACATATACACTGAATAAAGTGCACTGAAAATTCCAAGCATTCTCAGAGTTTCAGAAAACATAACTGTAGTTTGCAGAGGTAGCCAGTCTTTTCATGGAATGAAGACGCTCGAGTGTTCAAGTTGTATAACTCGTTCTGATCTC